TTCCCACCTCCTCCAGGACAAGTCCTCCCCCAAGGACTGCGATCAACCTGGTAGACTCAGTCCAGGGAGGTCCAGTCCCTTCCTCCCAGACTGAGCCAAGTGTCCCTGCATAAGCTCCAGGTTCCAAACAGCCAACTCATGCAATGAGCACAGGACTTGGTCCCACTGCCTAGTTGCCTCCCAAACTGATCAAGCCAATTAACTCTCTCACCTATTCAGAGGGCCTGATCCAGCTGGGGGCCCCTCAGCCTTTGGCTCATAGTTCATGTGTTTCCATTTGCTTGGCAATTTTTTTTCAGTAATTGAGTAAAACTGAAATTTATTATAAGCCACAGTCGTCCTAGGGACCTCCATGCTATATATATAGTCCCTTCTGTTTTATATTAGTAATCCCACAGAATCTCAGTTCCTAGGGTGTACTCAGAAAGTATTTAGGGATTGAAAATGTGTTGAGTTAGACTACGGTGAGCCGTAGGTTCACCCCCTAGTACAAGGACACAGGCAATTTCAGGAAGGCTCAATCCAGCCTTGATGAGATCAGCACCGTGGACAGCTCCCGAGACCCTGACTAGTCAGATTAATCGGGTCAAAGGAACCCTTTCAGCAAAGGTGGAAGGCAAGAGCATGCCTTCCCCCTGCTTCCTTTGACCTGAAGTGTATGCCTTGTGAGGACAACACTGTGAATTTGTCCCCAAAGTAGCCTGTACCACTCTGCTATATGGTCCTAACACACCAGATGGTAGCAGATCAGAGGTTCCTTTGCTAAGTGTCACACAGTGAAAAATATTGTGGATGTCAAGGGTGGATCAAGGATATTGGCTTTCTCTAGGCAAAGCTTAAAAACAGTAAATCCTCCAGGAAGAAGTTCTGGGAACAGTTTCCAATGTAATTGACACACTCTCCTCTGCCCTCACTCCCTGCCATGATACCTCCCACACATCCCACCACAGCTTCTACAGCTTGCTGTGTGTTCCTCTTCTGTGGTACTGTAGGCCTCCTTCAGAGTGGGCCACCTGTCCTCCTTGAGTAAGATGTCACATTAGATGCTCAATAAATTCTGTTGAATAGATTCAGGGGAGCTACATGAATCAGCACTGGGGACAAGGTTCCCATGACCAAACCCTGGCCAGGAAGATCAGCAAGAAAAGCTTTATAATTCCTGACAGTGTGCCCTTTTCTTGTATTCTTGAAGGGTATAGATAAACTGATGACTTAGCAAATGGGGGAAAATGATTACTGACTGCTGATGTTTTTTCCCCATGTTGCTTACTGGCTATTAGGACGACACTGAACGACACCACAGAAGCTACTGGACAGTGTAGTGAACTCAGGCTGTTGAATGGTTCAGTGTTTCCAAGACTAAAGATGAAAAATCATCCAGAATAATAAAGCAAAGGGTATAAAGCTGTGTGTGATGTCTCATGCCTATGATCGCAGCACTTGGGAAACAGAAACAGGAAGATTTCCATGAGTTCCAGGCGAGACTGGGCCACCAAGTGCATTCTAGTCTACCCCAAAGTAGAGAGTAAGACCCCTGTCTCAAAAGCAAAAACCAAACAACCAGAAAAACTAAAAAAGTAATAAAAAATACAAAGGGCAGATGAGACTCTGAGCATCTTTGTGAGGCATAAGGCTAGCCCTGGGAGCTGGAGTGTGCTCTCTAAGGCATGCCAAACCCCTGTTCTAGAAAGAAACCATCTCCTGGTTGACAGGAGAGTTGTCCTTGTTTACACTACCTTTGACCCTCGTGGACCACTGAGTTTAGGTATGCCATCAGCATAAAGCTGAGTCCATTCCAAGGAAGCAGCAATCCTTTTTAAAATTATTTCCATTCCAAGGAAGCAGCAACCCTTTTTAAAATTATGATCTATTTTATGTGTGTTAGTATTTTACCTGCATGTATGTATGTGCACCACATGTACGCTTGGTATCCTGGAGGTCAGAAGAGGGGCTTGTATCCTTTGGAATTGGAGTTATGGGTGACTATGAGCTACCAAGTGGGTACTAGAAATGGAACCCAGGTCCTCTGCAAGGACAATAAATATTTTTAACAGCTGATCAAGCTCTCTAGTCCTGGGAGCACCAATATTTAAGCCACAGACGGCAACCTAAAAGCCAACTGTGACCTAGTAGCCTGACTGAGATCCTCTTTTTCATTGACCCTCTGCATTTCCAGCAGGCTTTTATATCACTTTCCGTTCTGTTGCTAGAATAAAACACTACAACCAATAACAAATCTATGGAAGAAAGCATTTATTTTTGGCTTACAGTTCCAGAGGGGGAGTTTAAAATGGGGGGGGCATGGCTACAGGCAGCCAGAGCATGAGGCTGAGAGATTACATCTTCAACCATAAGCAGTGATAAGAGAGAGCAAACTGGGAGTGGGGTGCAACTATAAACTCTCAGGTCCACTCCCAGTGACAATGCTTCCTTTAGCAAAGCCCTACCTCCTAAAGATTCCATAGCATCTCCAAATAGGCCCACGAGTTGGGGACCAAGCACTCAAATACCTGAGCCAACGGGGGATATTTCTCATTTGAATCACCCCCGCTCTGATTACAGAAATCCTTTTCTGGGAAGTTCATGCCTTGAAATCTCAGCTGTTGTTGTAAGGATTCAGATTTAGTGTCCCATGCTCACTGCACATCGGGAGTGTAGTAGAATATTATTTTAAAGTGTGTTACTTTGTTTATGTTGCATTTGTTTAACTCTGTGAAGCTGTGTTACTGTGCCTGTCTAAAACACCTGATGGTTTAATAAAGAACTAGCCAATAGTAAGGCAAGAGAAAGGATAGGTGGGGCTGGCAGGCAGAGAGAATAAATAGAGGGAGGAATCTTGGAGGAGAGAAAGAGATTTAGGAACCAGAGAAGGAGGAGGACATCAGGGGTCAGCCCCACAGCCACACAGCAAGCCATGGAGAAAAAGTAAGATTTACAGAAGAGAATGGGAAAAGACCAGAGGCAAAAGGTAGATGGGAAAATAATTTAAGGAAAGCTGGCTAGAAACTAAGCCAAGCTAAGGCTGGGCATTCATAATTAAGAATAAGCCTCCTTGAGTGATTTACTTGGAAGCTGGATGGTACCCCTGTAGCTAGAGTTTTCCGCCTTGCCCACAGTCAGGACAAATCTCTGTCACCCGCCAGTCCCACAGCCTATCAGACCCAACCAAGTAAACACAGAGACTTATTTTGCTTACAAACTGCATGGCCGTGGCAGGCTTCCTGCTAACTGTCCTTATCTTGCTAACTGTGCTTTTATCTTAAATTG